CATTTTCCGTATTTGCTCGGCTACATACTTCACCAGCAAACGATGAAATAAGTTTTGATAATGAGGTCTGAAAATTATAGAAAAATTAGCGATCTTCAAAAAGAAAGGCAAAAATAATCAAAGAAAAGCTGGTGGACGCAATGCTTAAAAAATGGAACGAACGGATAACTAACCAAATTACTGTGATACCAGTAAGCCTGGGCCACAACATTCACAATGAGTGGACGGCTGGCCATCTGCAGCAACTGACGCTCTTCAAATTCGTCAAACACGATTTCTTCGAATGTCATCTCTGTAATTCAACGATGTAAACAAAGGCAAAAACTTGAACTTTTTTCACAAACCTGATAACACTCCGCTGTCAATAACATTTAAAAACTCATTCTGCAGCACGCGACAGTAAGCGTCCGGCAAAGCTGTCAAAAGTAATGCTATGGCATTCAACATCAGATATGGTCTCGGTGGCTGAGCTCTTGAGCTTACTAACAGGTTAATCATCGCGGGCACGATATGCTGAAACGACAAATCAGGATTATATTGATATAAATAACATGGAGATAAAATTATAGTCAATCTTTCAAGAAAAAACCGATGAATTTCCAAAAGAGGACAACATTCTCGCAGTGAAATGGTTACGCAAGCTCAAAATACCGGTGTGGTGTAAGAGAAACGATAGCAATTGCCAGCCGCTATACCAACGCATAAAAATGTACTATTTCCCATAAAAGTTACAAGTTTTAGAATTAAGGAAAATCTGTAAAGTTGGGATATATGCCTTTTTTGATAAGAACTCCTCGGAGAATGGTGATAAGGGCAATTTGGCGATATCATTGCAAGAAACGTAAGATACTCGGTTTTGTCGTTCAAACGCATTTTTTAAAGTTTAATTCCACACCTCATTTCCGAGCAAACAAATTCTATTTAGCTCTTTGATTCAGTTGAAAGCAAACGTGAATTTCTCTGAATTTCTGAGTGCAATGAACAAAAAGTAGGGTAAAAGATAAGCT